TGTATCTCTCATTGATTTACTTCTTCTGAGAAAACTAAATTCTTGGTACTCCAAAGATTAGGTATGATTAAACAAGTGACAGGAGCCACAGATCAATGACTTTGACAGAACTATCCAGGAATGAGCCTTCTTGGTGAAGAGGGACATCTTGACACTAAAATTTTGATTATCAATGCTTTCAAGGAGAAAGATTTTTGATCAAAAGTGAGAAAGGGGAAAGATAAGAATGTTCATCTGAGAAATGAAATGAGATAGCAACATAATTTAAAACAAAAGTTAAATTAAAAAAAAGTTAGACAGCAATCATGCCCTACTCCTCCACCCCCCTTTCAGCTATGCATTAATCTCTTGAAACTGCTTGCTATTGCCACAAGAAGGTAGAAGGTAACCTAATAATGCCACACCAGAAACAATAATTCACACCATATAGCTTAACAATGTATAGCCAATTACTAATCAATGTTATTTCTTTAAACCAATGAGAATTCCTGACAAACAACTTTGTGTTACACCACTCTTTGCCCTGTCTTTTTGCATTTAAAAATCCAGTTGTGACTGCTGCTAATTGGAGTGTATATTCAGGGCAAGCTGAATCTATGCTCCTGAGTTGCAATCCTCAATCTTGGCCCAAATAAACTCTCCACTTAAATTTATTTTGCCTGAGCTTCTTCCTTTTATGTCAATACAACAAATAATCAGGAAAGATTAATCGCTGGAGAAGCAAATAAAGTCATCATCATGCTCAGACAGACTTTTCATCTATGCTTCTCTGGGCAGTTCCAAGGGATTACCTGGGAGACTTTATGTGCCTAAAACAACAACTTTTTTTATAGCAACGTTCTACCCTTCACCTTCCTGCCATCTCCCTCAGAGCGCAGAGAAACTTTGTCCCAGGTCATTGTTATTTGGGCTCATTCATTTCCCCTCAAATAATTTACTACCCCTCACAATTGCCTAACCCCCACACCCCCATTTCCCTTTCTTCTATGAAGAGGGTAGATAAGCCTCAATCATACGGGCCTTCTTTCAGTCTCATATTTTATATGGCTCTCATGCTTGTGCGTGTTAATAAATTTGTATGCCTTTTTCTCCTATTAAACTGTCTATTGTGGGTTCATTTCAGTGACCTTCAGAGAAGATGGAAGAAAAGATTTCCCTTTGTCCCTATGGCACCAAGATTCACTCTCAGATAATCTGGTTCTAAAAAATGGTGTACTTCCTGGTGCACTATGCTGAGTCTTCTTTTAAACAAGGCAAATAATCCCTTAGGAAGTAGCAGAGAGAAGCCTTGAATGAGGAGCTTCCTGTGGCTGGACTAGGGAAACCTGACTAAAGCTCTACATTTCACTTTTCTTTGGGGGTTCTCAAAGAAAAAGAAAAAGAAAATCATTGTCATGATCCCTGATGACAATGTAGGAGGCCAAAATAAGCCACCCCAAAATAAACTGTTCACGATCAGAATATGACATTCCAAAATATGACTCTAGGAGACCAGAATATGCTAGTCCGAAATATGCCCCTTTGGCATCAGGATTATTTTGAGCTGATTATTTTGAGAAACTGCAAGCACAGGAGAAGCTTTGAAAACAGTTGAAGTTGCCCTTTTCTAAGGAAAATTTACATCTGCAGGAAAAAAATCTCCATTTTAAGTGTTTCTCCCTCTCTTCTCAGGAAGAGAAAAATGACTAAATCACTGGAAACTCTTACCCATGAAGAAGACACTGACTTAAATTTGCCTAACAAACCTTATCCTTGTTTAATGTACTTTCCTGGTCATCTCCCCATTACTGCTCCCTACAGCATCCTTCCTTCTTTGTTTCAGTTGAAGACCATGTTTAAGCCTGAACTCAAAGCCACCACTTTGAGATTTAGTCATTCCCTGTGTATCTCCCACATATA